TATATGTTGCCATCAACAACCAAGCGCCATTTTGTGAATCAGTGTATATAGAATTATGAACCCGTGAGAAAATATATCAGCTGGAGCGAAGACTCGCAGTTTGAATTCAGCATCGTAAGCATGGCGTTTTCGTCTAAAACTCATGATGAAAATGTCGTCAGTAAAAATATACCAACTTTTATAACCCCCTTTACACCACTATTTTATGTTTATGCAATTGAATTAAATAAACTATCATACTATGAACACATTGAATGACCATCACTTACTCACAGGCTTCTCCAGTTTTTTAAACTAATCTCTCGAAAACAAAGGAATAAGCCCCTACTCCCAACACGATTGCTAAGCACCCACAACTTGAAAATGTTTGTGTAAATAACATGACAATACCAATCGGCCCGTTATTATCAATGCTCATTTCCTTGTGTACCGTGTTGCTTTAAACAACAGGAAGCAATCACAGTGGTCACCGTTTGTGACGTCACAGGAAACAGCTGATCACATGTTTTTGCAAATGGCGAACGGAATAACTCGCTGATACAGTTGTTTATTTGCCTCTTTCAATAAAGGTAGACACTTGTTCACTATCAATTTATGAACAATGCAAAACGTACGTAATAGCTAGTGGCGATTTTATCTGGGGATTATATATTATAGCTGTGAATTACATATATTGTTACATGTAAAGATTGTGGAGTTTACGAAGAACGATAAACTTTGAACATTCAATTGAAAACTTATTATCGGAAGTAGTAACATGCACAACATTTTTTTAATAATGACAACATTGGTGTATAATAAAAACTTTATTGATAATTTATAACAATAGTGGCTCTAGTCGTGGCAACTTCCAAACTTTCGGGAAGTTGTAATCTATCGGACCGTCAGTCAGGCGATGTTTCTGACAGATCACGATCTGAAAAATGCTCTCATGAAAGTGTATCCCGTGTATAAGCCGACCCCTTTCTACAGAATCTTTTTTCTGGTCCTCAAAATTCGGCTTATACGCGGTCATATACGGTACTATACAGTGCCTGCCTCTTGGTGATATCACCAATAATGAGACTTGTCAGCAATTCTACCTGGCAGTGCCATATCTCACACACACCATTTGTCCTATTTATCTCCACAACACTTACAGGCTGTGCAACAAGCTGTGTTGTGACCATGCATCCTATACTAGGATCAAGAGGCCAATAAATCAATACATAAAATGGTCAAAGGGAAGTAACTCTCTTTCTTCTTCCTTAATCCTCGACACATCTGTTCAATTTGGAGTTTGGACAATGACACATATAACAGCTTTAATTGCTGTTAGTGTTATTGAAAGTTATATAAACTGCATGGAAAAATACTATCAAGATGTTTGCAAAAGATTTTGAGGAACTTGGTATGGAGATATGATTAATAATGAACTTTGAACTGTGTTCTATGATGAAACTAAGCATCAAGTTTGCAGCTTGTGCTGACACGTTTACATCTAGGTATAATAACAACAACTGCCTCATTTTAACTGAGATATTGATGTTTTTCTTCTGCTTCATGTCAAGTTTGGACGTAACCATCCAACACCATTTCATGTCCTAAAATGGAAACTTTCAATTGGCATATGATTTATGTAATACTAAATTTCACTTAATTTTCTCAGAAAATCCACTTAAATAAATCCAATGAAACACTGCACCTCTCCTATTAGTATGGAAAGTGTTCCATAAATTTGAAAAGAATCCACACTGCAGGTCGCACAAATGTTGAAGTCAAAACAAAACAACATTTTAAGTTCAAAACATGTAAAAATTAATACTTTCTCAGAAAATGCACATATCAAAAGCACATTTTGCACTGCACCTCTTCTATTGGTATGGAATTTGATCTCATAAATTTGAAGAGAATCCATGCTTTGGTTTTCAAGTTACAGGTCACACAAATGTTAAGGTAAAAAAAGAAAGAAAATTAGCTGTATTTTTTCAGAAAATCAATGCACCTCTCCTATTGTAATAGAAAGTGTTCAAGTTTGAAAAGAATCAAGTAGTTTTCAAGTGACAGGTCACACAATCAAATGTCCTCAGAAGGACGGATGGAATTCCTTGGCCTAACTGTATTCCCCATGGGGATGGGGATGAAGGTGGGTGTGGCTAAGGGTGCTTTTACCAATAATACATGTTACCTACCCAGCGTTAGAAATTGGCACTAGTCCTGTAGTCCTTGCCAAACTGCCCAATGGTTACTGTATCATAAGGACTAGTAGAAATTTGCTATATGTTATCATTATAACAGTGGACGAAAACTGTTAGTTTCTACCACTGCTACCATATCTATATTTAACAATGATACATGCACAGCTTTAGAAATTGGCACCAGCCCCATAGGCCTTGCCAAACTGCCCAATTGTTAGGGTATCATAAGGACTTGTAGTGAGTAAGTGAGTGAGTATGGTTTTACGACGCTTATAGCAATATTCAAGCAATATCAGGGCGGGGGCAGTAAAAATGGGCTTCACACGTTGTACCCATGTTGGAATCAAACCCGGGTCTTCGGCTTGAGGAGTAAACGCTTTAACCGCAAGGCTACTTGACCGCCCCCATAAGGACTTTTAAATTTGCCATTTTTAAGGGTTTTGCTATATGTTAGTCATTATACAGACTAGTAGACCAAAAACAGTTAGTTTCTATTGCTCCATGCAACAATTTGGGATCAATGACTCACTATTACCTTAACATTTTCAAAACAGCCATCATGAAAGCAAGTTGGTCTGTGGGTTGGGGTTGGGGTTGGGGTTGGGGTTGGGGTTGGGGTTGGGTTCAGCGTGTGGAGATATTACTCTTTAATTATATATTCATCATGTGTACAGCGTTTTTGGTGGCATATTTATGTGCTGATCATGTGGATCGGTAGCAAACAGAAATACCAGTCCCGGCTAATATTTACCGGTCCAATGATTGCTAATAAAAGATCAAAGACTACATATGACACCTATTTCCGAAGTCATATTGAGTGATAAGTCGCATTGTAACGAGAGATGTGATGTCATTAAAGCTGCCGACTTGACAGTGCACATGTCTGACTTGTCAACATTGGGTTCATGTGAAGTACCCGTAGACTGTCAGAACATTCCATTGTCATTCAGAATGTTGGGTGCTCATGTCATGGTGAAGAGAGGAAAATAATGTGAAGACTATAATTTGTCAATCATTCACATTTTGTGAATAGCTTTCAAAGTTTCATTTACTTTTCAGTTTTAATGCCAACCTGCAAGAATAATGTCAAAAACTGCACCAAAATATGGCTGTTCATTCATGGAAACCCTGTGAAAGTACCAAACCAGTCCGATGTTTGAGAACAGGTGACATCACTCGAGTGGAACGATGTTTACAGACATGGCAATATGGGGGTCATGCCCATTATCAACGATTTCTTTGCTATCGGAATATAACTAAATTCATCATCGTACTCACTAATCTCTCATCTGCAATGTCCTCTCAACTGTTGGAAACCAGGGTATGCGAGGGTATTAAAAACGATATGAAAACATTGTACCTTGTTGATTCTGTTTTTGTTTTTTGAACTACCAAATCAGTATGTTGTCAACAATCACAGAAAACGTCTTCTGACCCGCTATTTTAACATAATGTCAAGCAACCATTCGGAAAATCCTGCTTCTTTATCACAGCGTATGTAACAAAGATCACACAAAAAAATCCAAATCAAAACAATGAGGCCTTTGAAACAGAGTGATTTAATGTTTAAAGCAATTCACAGGATATGATGCCCATTTTTCAGTTGAAATTTCTCCCCACAGGAATGACCATCAACCTTCAAATTTACGGGTCCAAGTCATATTTTATTGGTCAATATGCGGTATATACCAGAGAACGGAAACACTGCTGTATTGAAATTAACAAAGTATGTGAATTTAGAGTTACCCTCCCTCAGCAATTACTTGATTCGTCAATGAGAGCCTCGGCACTGTGTACTACTTAAAGCCCTATTGGGGAGGTGCGTGGGTGTATGATTAGTAATAATTTCATCACTGACAATATGGAAGGGTACAAGAACTTGCATGTGAGCATCTGTGGATGCACTAAAAGTGTCATTTTGAAACAATGGATGATGATGATAGTATACATCAGTCACATCACAACAACCTTCATCACTGACAATATGGAAGGGGTACAAGAACTTGCATGTGTGCATCTGTGGATGCACTAAAAGTGTCATTTTGAAACAATGGATGATGATGAAAGTATACATCAGTTACATCATAACAACCTTCATCACTGACAATATGGAAGGGGTACAAGAACTTGCATGTGTGCATCTGTGGATGCACTAAAAGTGTCATTTTGAAACAATGGATGATGATGAAAGTATACATCAGTTACATCATAACAACCTCCTTCAGTGACAGGGCTCCAGTCTAAATGTCTAAATGAGCTGCCAAATGGTGGCTGATTTCTCACAGGCTGCAATGAATGATATTAAACTTAGAATGAATCAACTGGTGCTCAGTTAAGGACTGACTGTGCATTTTCTTTAGTTCATTGAGGTATGAATCGAAAAACCGATGTGCAAACTGTATGAATCTGCATAGCAGATTCTTACAAAAGTTTGCACACCGGTTTTTCAATTTTTTCATACCAACAGTGGAATCAGTTAAACTATCATATTGGTTGCTTTGAAAACTTCCTTTTTCCTCATTGGTTTTTTTTGGAGAAAGTTTACATGTTGCAAATATTTAACGTATGCTTAAGGCTGCATTCAATGACCATTGGTCACACATTACACAAGTGATAACATGGGTTGCATTCGTGTAATGTTATTGCCTTGTCTTGCCTTGAGTGTATGAATCCTAGGATCATGCAGTCTAGGTTTATCAGTGTAGTAGCCATGAGACTGACATTTTATTCAACCTTACCTTTTGGGGCATAGGCTGACTCAGTGTTTATCATGGGTATTGCAGATCTAATGGAAATCTTACAGTAAAAGAATGTATAACTTACTTGCAGCCCCCGTGGGTGTGGCTCCTTGAGCCCCGTCAGACTCTCGCTGACCTGTCCCCCCTGCGGCATTGTTGGCAGGGGTGTCCTGTCCAGACATTAGACTTGATGATGGCGGTTTTCCGCTCCCTGATCGTTCCCGGGCAGATCCCGAACCACTGCTGCGGCACCCGGTAGGCGGATTGACTCCTTGACGCCGAGCCCACGCAGAGGAACGCCGCCCACTGAAAAATGTCCATAATACTCTAATAAATCACACAAAACTTAATCCTATTTTATATTCTCTGCCACATTTTTAAACTGCACATATTTCCGAGCCCCTACACAATACATAACCACACTCTTAATGATGTAATCAAGGTATACGGTTCAAAATCCACTGAACACATCAAAGTGTTGCCGCTGAAGTTATGTTTACGAGCCACTAAGTAATAAAAACATACCTGAAAACTTACTTTTCACTAATGCACATTTTAATCAAACTTGATCTCATGATAGTTTAGCTTCAGAACAATCGTATGCACTAATGTATAGGCTGCTGTCTGTAAACTTCCTGTGTGTAATGTCTTGTGACTGATTATATAAAACAGGGCCCTATGTTAGAGAAGGTATATACCAAGGTAATGATAGTTATCCAATGGCTGATGAACATGCCCCTCAGTGAGAATGCACATGCTCACAAAATCCTTCTGGCGTGAAATTTAATTAATCATTTCAAAATGTCTGACATGGAACGGCGAAAACTTTTTAATCAGATCATGAATGTCGGCACCTCCTTGTGTCAACATAGTTCTACATTGTATTACTGCAACAGATGCAATTAAAATGACTTTGTTTGATGTTGTTATTGTGTGAGGGATGCCCAGTTATCGGCAAGCCAGCTTTCCTTTGGTGAGCAACCATTACTACCCAATCAGCGATGCCCCAAGAGTAGAGATGTTTCGGATACAACACACGGTATGTCATATCTGAGATAGTGGGGCCCTGTTTTCGAGTATGTCATTTATCGCCATGAAAACATCAAAGAAAAATATGCCGGCTATTGGATAATTAGTATTTTAGTGTAGTCTCATACCTGCTACTAGCACAGGATCCCGTTTTCTTGCCTCTTGAGCCCCTCTTGTGTTTACTACTACTCTCACCAGAGGGTGCTTTGGTCGTGAGGTTTTCAGCAGTTGGCTGTTCACCTCTTGAAGCTGGGGCTGAAACCTTCAAAGTAACAGAAGTTTCTGCCTCGGGTATTGATGACCTGAGACACTGTCGTTTGGGTGGTAGATCAGATTCGGCCTCCGACCTTGACGTTGTCGCGAGCTGTACTTCTGGTTTGGGTTCAGATTCAGCCTTGTCTTCAGATGTGATTGTCTCAGATCTTTTTGAACTCTTGATCTTTTTGCTTTTGCTCTTTCCTTTGACGGATGATCGTCTACGTGAGAAGTAGGAGATACCTTCACTCAGTGTGGCTCTGATGTTGGATCTCAACTTACTCTTGATAGGACTGAATCTGGACGGACTTCCTGGCAGCAAAGGTAGGGTGGCAGTGTCTGCTATTATGTGAGAATCTGGGGCCGGGTCACTCGTATCAGCCAACAGGATGCTTGAGCTGTCAGGAACAGCTTTTGAATCGACTTTGTTATTCTTGAAGACCTTGTGCGTCTTGTGTGGAGATAGCTTCCTACTACTGTCCGACTTGTGATAAAAGGACTTCTTTGTTTTTACTTTGGGTTCAGAATCTAAGGATTCCCCAGAGCTCTGCCTTTTCTTAGGCTTCTTTGTTTCTGTTTTGGACTTGGCCAATTGTTTTGTACTGAGGATGCAGGGTGGTACTGCAGATGATGTGGGTGCTGGGTCTTCAGCCCCACTGAAATGTAAACATAGTAACATCATCAGTCAGTCAGTGAATTGGTTAAATACTGCTCTTAACAGTATTCCAGTTATATAACAGCATGTCATCTTTATGTAAGGAAAGCCCTAAGTGACTTAGGTCTCAGACGTTAATCACTTTGGTGAGTGAGTGAGTTGGGTTTAACGCCACTTTTAACAGTATTCCAGTTATATCACGGCGTGTCAGCTTAATGTGGGAGGAAAGCCCGAAGTGATGCAGGTCTCAGACGTTTACCACTTCGGTGAAACCCATGAGCACAAGTATGGTGCTGACAAACCTAGCAACATAATCAAGGCTACCCATGATTCGGACCCACAATCATAGGTTCCTTGTGTGCCCAAGGGATGTAACTGCACAACGAATTGTGGCACATTGGACACCTGAGTAAAGTCGACAGAGTAAAAGTAGAATTTTTCTGTTTTTAAACATGAATTAGCCATATCACAACAAAGAGCACCAAGAACAGGCCCTAAATATTGTCCAAATGTTCTGCAGTCTCTGAAAATACAACTTTTGATTTAACTTGCCTGTAAATGCCCTTCAGCATCTGTTTTGTCCAACATTTGAACTATTACTTTTCTCTACAGCTCTATCTCTGACATCAAATTTACCAGTCATCAGGACATATACCCCACTTTTTATTTGATGCCATTGGATACATTCAGTTCAGCATGTTCAGTGAAGAAATAAATTATACTGTTCAGTATTTTAATATCCAAAATCATCAAAAGGCACCAGTTCACCACTAGGCTGATGTGAATAGGAAGTTTCATCAAGAAATATTAAACAGTTTTGGAGTTAAGCTCCAGAAAAATATACCACCCTAATTTTTTCGTAAGTTTTTTTGTTTTGTTTGATGTTTAACATTGCACTCAGCAATATTCCAGCTATATGACGGCAGTCTGTAAATATTGAAGTCTGGACCAGACATTCCAGTGATTGACATCATGGGCATCGATCCATGCAATTGGGATCGGTTACATGCATCCACCAAGTCAGTGAGCCTGACCACCCGATCCCGTCAATAACCTCTTTCGACTAGCATAGTCGCCTTTTACAGCAAGCATGGGTTGCTGAAGACCTATTCTACCCTATCTTTTCAGTAAAGTGAATGTGTCATCATGAAAACATAAATAAAAATATTTAAAAAAAATATTCCAAATTATCAAAAGGCAGTTCACCACTGATTTCATTTGTATAGGAAGTTTCAACAAGATATATTCAACAGTTTAAGAGTTCTGCTCCAGAAACGGAATGGGGACTGAGGACAGACGGAAATGCTGTAGCTCTGTTTCTCAAAATAGGGGGATAATAAACACACAGTGATTCTACTGAGTGACCTTCACCTTCACTGTCATCAAATGATTAATCAGAAAAATTCCCCATAGGTATATAGTAGGCATATCAGCATGATCAGGTACATATCTGTCATTAGCATATGATTGGTTCTGTCTCAATTCTGATGTATGTCTCCAGCCTCCTACCATATTGTATTTATCAGAGGACGATTCAACATCAGTACAATAAAATCTATATGTCCAACCACGGGCTAGCCTCGGTAAAATTCTTGGTGTATTACCTATGCTATTGGTGCTCTACTCAGCACAAAAGTTCTTACCTCAGCAGTTTTGTCAGTGTATCTGTTGTGCGCGGCTCAGCCCCACTGTGACGATGTGTTCGTCGACGTGACCCCCCGGGCTGGAACTCAGGTTGGTCGGCCATAGGCGGCAACCGTAATCTGGCTCATGCCAGAATCTACAAAGCAATCAATAAAACATGGATAACTGCTTTAAAAATTGAGCAAGCTCAATAATTTAATGATGCTAAAGAGATAATTGTGGAATGTATCAGCTTTGGACTCTAGCTCATATGTGTGAGTGACAACAAAGAGTGAGTGATGCAAATCTGCAGATTGGATTGAGGTGATTTGATTTCACAGCCATGCCCAAATTTATTGTGGAAAGAGGTGCATAAAACATTTGTTTTCAAGGGGAAACCGAGAGATTACATGAAAATACCATCATAAAAGTGTTGCATCATGGCTCTGGCCCTCACTCTTACTAGGAAATCATACGTCTCTACAGCGTACAGTCAATCATCTGAATGATGCTGTCCAGAAGCATGATAAAGAATATATACATATTCAGTTTTCTCCTTACCTAAATCTAAGTATTCCTGGTTTAACAGTATGATGTATGGTGATTTAATGAAAATAATTAGCAATATTTTCTCCATCTTTGTGACACAAATAATAGTTGTTGATTTTTATATTGTTTATTAAATAAAAATAACAAGCATGACATACTCTTATCCCCTGCCAATATGACATGTTCGGTTGTGTGCAAGGCAAGAAATATTGAATGGTTTTCATGTCAAAGTCATTACCATGGAAACTTGAAAAATAGTTTTCTTGAAAATTCCAAACTATCAAAAGGCAACAGTTCACCACTTGACCTTTCTATGTGCCAAGTTTGGTTCAGATATCTATCACGATTTTTGAGTTCTGCTCCGGAAATGAAAGGTGATGGACGGACAGACACCCGAAGAAATGTTAACGGTCAATCATCCTCTTAGGTATCCATTCAATAGTGGACGAACAGAGGCATATTTCGACCAAATCACTTGCGTATGGAGACATGTTTCAGTGTGGGGAAGGACTGAAGCCTTAGAAACTGACAGCTTGTTGAACACTGTCACACAACTACCTACCATCCGTGACCAACTCTGCTCAGCTTTGCCTGTTTTGTGACCAGTGTGCGGTACAACTTGGCACCATCCATTACTGACTAGAAACTGTTATCAAGATGATTTAATTGATTATGAATGAATACTGGTTCTCTATAAAAAATCACCCTTTATCAGAATGAAAACGAGTCATCAGAAGATGACAAATGCCCCCGGCCCCAAATCAACATCAAATCATCTGATTGTCACAGTAAGTCCAACTTGATGAGAGAATTTCTATCTAATCTGTCTGTTCGTATACAAGAATAGTTATTGAGCTGTCAAAACAATGCTATGGATTTGGAATTCGGAACTTTATATTTCCACATCAGGTACACACAACTATGAACAGAATCAAAGTCAAACTTGTTGCCATGGAAACAAAAATAAATAAGTTCTAAACACCCCTAAGTTACAAACAGCACCATTTGGCAATCTGGTATTTGTGTGCATATTTTCAAGAAAGGATACCTACCCATATAATTTTAGAGATATGGTCAAGACAAACACACCACTATGAGTGAGTCAGAGTGAGTATAGTTTTACGCCGCTTTTAGCAATATTCCAGCAATATCACGGCAGGGGACACCAGAAATGGGCTTCACACATTGTACCCATGTCGGGAATCGAACCCGGGTCTTCGGCGTGACGAGCAAACGCTTTAACCACTAGGCTACCCGACCGCCCCACACCACTATGAACAGAGTCAACGTCAAACTTGGAAACAGGAAAAATTAATATTTGTAAAATTCTGAATAGCAAAAGGCACCACTTCAGCCCTTGATTAATACAGGTACCAATACATGTGGATGAAAAAGTTGGATAGTTTTAGTTCTGCTCCGGAAACAATACCTATCTTCGTTTCAGCTAAGTCTAACTTGTTTCCAAACAGATAAAAATCAAATTTTGAAAACTTCCAAAATAGCAAAATGCACTACTGAAGCCCTTGGATAATACAAGTACTTAGTTTGGATGGAAAGGCTTTCACAGTTTTCAAGTTGTGCTCAGGAAAGACACCTACCTCATCCTTTTGAGACTAAGTCCAAATTGTTTCCATGGAAATTGAGAAAAATAAAAATGCAAAAAATCACTAAGTAGCAAAAGCATTCATTCAAATTGGAAAGATAGCTGCAAAATCAACTTGTACTATATAAATGTGAAGACCTAGGCAAGAATAGGTCTTCACCAACCCATGCTTGTCGCAAGAGGCGACTAACGGGATCGGGTGGTCAGGCTCACTGACTTGGTTGATGCATGTCATCACATTCCAATTGTGTGGATTGATGCTAATGATGTCAATCACTGGATTGTCTGGTCCAGACTCAAATATTTAGACTGCTGTCACATAGCTGGAATATTGGTGAGTGCGGTGATAAACAACAAACAAACAAAACCTTGGACTATAATAAAGAGATCCTCAGTTTTCATGATGTTTTGATGTCTCTGTTAGAGAAAACAAGGTCTTGGTGTCAGGCTAGCAATGGATGCTAAGCAGCAGGGCAATCAGAAAGTGGATCTATGAAATGTTTTTATAGGAAGGTTCCCCCGAACATTCATCCATAATTTCAAATACTGCATGACATGTGCCTAATTTGAACGTATGTTCCACTAGTGCTAACACTGCCACTACAAAACCGACCCGCATACCTTTTTTCCACAGTAAGTAAAGACTGTCATATCTGATAATATATATAAACATGATGAAGGTCGAAGCACTGATGCTGCTCCATGATTTTATCAACCTTTGAAAGGACATTCTTCTGTACCAAATTTAAAAAATATCTTCACAACATATTGGACACCAATGAGTCAATGTCCTGGAAAACTTACCCTTAGAACATCCTTCTAGGGTATTAGCCTGCCAAATAACTGATGCTTCTACATTCAAGTTCCTAACCAAAGATAAAAGCATCATTCGGACGAAGAATTTGTTTTGTTATTTTCCGTCAGGAAAAATGTATTTCTTTCACAGGTTCTTCAGACTGGATTCTTGTGCTTCAACTCCTATGACAGCAGGGTTCAATTTAAGGACCTTGATTTAACTTGCACCAGATGCATTTTGTCATGAAAACCTTCTTGCACAAGACAAAACCAGGTTGCACCCTAGTCCCATAAATTTATCAAAGTTAATGAACGTTTATCAGCATGCACATAAGTAACGTACTAATGCTAAGACTAGGAGCTAAGCTCGCCTAGATGACTCAATGGTGTTTGGCACAGAACACTATTCTCATTTATTTATGTGCCCTGGCAGAAAAAGAAACATTAGTGATGTCATACTGATATGCCCAATGACAATAACATCAGTAAGTATTTCTACAGGCTGTAAATACCCATAGCGTTCTATGTTATTTCAGCGGAGCCAAAACCTATGTCTTCGAAAGCATGGTCATCATAATATATTGAGCAAATGATATGGTATTAAATAAAAACATTTATTGATATCCAAAGCTGGAAGCTGTGACCGAAATATGTTACAATGGATTGGCTCTTTGCACATGACAACAGTAGGACATTATTTAACATATTTTGCAAACCAAACCAGTTAATTGAATAAATGTTTTGTTTTGTCCACAGATAAATGGATCATGGTGAGCCAGTTTGTGAACAGTCTGATAAAAGCAAGACATGAGTTAATCTCATTAAAACTAGATCTTCTACTCCTGATCTCCATTGAAATCCGAGGACACCTTGATAGTAGGTAATGTCAGATGAACGCAGAGTGAACTTTGACTGCCAAATCTAAATTAAAAATGTGTGAGTTCTTGAGCCAATCAGAAATCAGCTTCTAAAATGATTTGGCTTCACTTCTTCACTTCAAAGATAAAGATTTCTTCTTAACAAAGATCTAATGACATCCCATTACAAGTCACATCAGAACATTGAAATGACTAAAGTCGACATTGGATAATCAGAAAGAACTTTACGGCACAAGTTACAAACTGTCGACTTCCATTTCAGACAACACGTTGAAACATATTTTGACAAAGCTCTCGATTGAAAATTTGAAAACAGAGCAAAAGAAACTTCAGGAAGTCTAATGGATGGTCAGGATTGTGTGTCAGTCCTTCCCATGGGCAATCGAAAGTTGCTTTTGTTTCAAATGTTTATCCTCATTAAAACGAGAGAACGACTATGATTTTGAATAAATCTGTTGTACAGACGCTAACTGTTGTTTAGAATAACCCCTTTGAAGGTTATATGATCAGAAAACATATTCCGACGGTCACATTACTGATCTGGTAAAAGATGCTCTGATTGGTTGAGGTAAAAGGTCGTTCTGATGTGACCCATAATGGGATGTCCTCAGATATTTGTTTAGCAGTAGCGAGAACTAAGACCTGATTTTAATGAAATCGAACTTAGGTCAAGACATCAATGTAACTTTTCAAAAGACTAGAAAACATGGTCATGGCGGCCATATTGAAAATCATGACTTACTGTCACAATACAATACTGGCCAATGGTAACATCTGTACACATAAGAAAAAAGTCTTTCTTTCAATGACAGTGGACTTGGTTTAAACAGGCATCTGAGTACCCCAGCACTCTCCAAAAACTGGTCTTGGTTAAGACATCATTATTTAAACACTGAGTACTCCGGCAACTGTCTATTCTGTTTACTTTTTTGTTTGTTGTTTAACGCCGCACTCAGCAATATTCCAGCTATGTGACGGTGGTCTGTGAATAATCGATTCAGGACCAGACAATGCAGTGATTGACATCATGAGCAACGATCCACGCAATTGGGATACGATGACATGTATCAACCAAGTCAGCGAGCCTGACCATCTGGCCTCTTACGACAAGCATAGTCGCCTTTTACGGCAAGAATGGGTTGCTGAAGACCTATTCTACCCCGGGTCTTCATGGGTTCTATTCTGTTTACTGGCACCAAGTATTGGCCTCAGTCCCTAATTTCCTCTCTATTTACCGACATGCTCTTTTATGAATGATTGCTGGCTCTCGAGGATTTCTGTGACAATAGGTGTCAACGGGCATCTGAACATGGATGAGCATGTGTGCAATGTTTGTTTACCTAGAAAGCCACTTAACACTGTTAATTAGGAAAAAAAGGTAATTGGTGAATTAGTCGTATCTGTAAATCTGTAACAAGTATTTAACTAGTGTCAGCTGAAATACCAATTATGTAAAAATGTCAATATGTTAAAACTTAAAATTCAAAATCAAGGTGGTATAAAAGACATGAAGCTGAATGGTTTTAGAAAGCTTGTGTGTGTTTGTGTTTGAGAGAGAGAGAGAGAGAGAGGAGAGAGAGAGAGTTGGGTTTATCACCGCTTTTAACAGTATTCCAGTTACATCAAGGCATGTCAGCTTAATGTGGAAGGAAAGCCCCGAAGTGATGCAGGTCTCAAGACGTTTACCACTTTGGTGAAACCGCCCGCACCCTGTAGAAAGCTATGTATACATGCATCCTACATTTAGATTGGGTAGTAAATATTCGATCAGGGTTCACCGGACATGACCTTCCATAGGTATCATACCACAGCAAAAGATTTCATTTTAATGAAATTGATATCAGTGGTTACTTTCTATGATCTGTGACAACTAAGGCCTTTGAACTGATTAGAAACAAACTTGTGTGCCAATGGGTTTTTTTTAAATTGACAAAATCTGTGTTTTCCAAGCACTTTCTCTACCCCAGCATATTGACTGTTTGCTTAAAAACAATCTTTTACACAGACATGGTAGAAACCCTCTGTTATGCTATTAATAGCCCAACCTTTAAAGTCAACTACCAGTGACCTTGTTGGGTCAATTAGCATTTGGACATTATCCTTATTTATTTATAGGCAACAATTCTTCCAAATACTTTTTTAAATCCTTCAAACTTTTAACATCTGACACAAGCCTTATAAATGAGGACTTAACTTTCTTGCTTAAATAGAGAGTATATTCTTTTATATAAACACCAAAATAAAAAATCTTAGCATATTTTGGATGAGAATCAGTCAATGTCCCAGACAATCAACCTGGCTACCTGTTTATGTCTTTATAATAATATATACCGGGGCATGTGATATTAAGTTAAAGAGAGTACTTTGTGAGGGGATGAATTTGCTACATGTACATCAAGGCCCACTGCTTGATGATGATGACGACAACTAGTGTAGTTACCAGCAGTGCCAAATAAATTATATGCCTTCCATCTGTCCAACTCAGAAAACACTGGAAATTAGACATTTTTGGTAGTTGTGCTGCAAAGAGCTACAGATAAACTGCGTATTTGCGTAAAATACCCTCCAAAAATATTCAATTACTTTCAACCATCTTGCTCACAAAAACGTGTGCATTAAAGGAAAAACTCAAAGGTATAAAAACAGCATGCGTAAATACCCAATGAAGCTTTTTTAGCATGCATACAACGGAGCTAATTTCCGAAACACAATTATGAGCTAATTTACTTTCTGAGTCAAGCCTACACATTTAGAAGAGATTCATACATCTAAAACATTATTTCATTTTTTTAAATCTTTAAATGTTCACTAATTTGGGGGAAAACACAATAGAGTGATGAATGGATGAGGGAAATAATATTGGTTACCCAATGAAAAATGTTATAACCCAATTAAAATAGAAACCCTAGAGTAAAAACTCAATGGCTCAAAAAGTTATCTGGAGCTCTGACTGCAGTAAGGGTCTTCAGGAGATGATAAATCCCTCCAATCTGGTGCAATTAGGAAATGGAGTTTGGCTACTTATACCCCACTTTTGGTTCACCTTCAGTTCAGTGAAGAAAATAATGCTGTTCAGTATTTTTCAAAATTCAAAATAATCAAAGGTACCAATTCACCACTAGACTGTTCTGAATAGCAAGTTTCATCCAGAGATATTGAACAGCTTTTGTGTGCTGCTCCGGAAACGAGCACTACCCTTATTTTCAGTAAAGTCCAACTCGTCGTCATGAAAACATAAAAAAAAAAAATCCCAAATCATCAAAAGGCACCACATCACCACTAGACTGATCTGTATAGCAAGTTTTATCTAGAATTATTATCGTTTTGGAGTTCTGCTCCGGAAATGGAAAATGGACAGCATATGGACAAACATGCTGATTGCTATACTTCGCTCCCTCTCTCCACCCATTTTTCAAACCTGGGGGATAAAAAAAATTATGAAAATTAATTTTATACTCTCGAATAACATAATAAGCTATGTTGCATAGCGTGGATTGAATGTGGGTCTGATGACTTGTGGTCAGCAGAAATAATAGTGGATCGGCCTTAACATCAGCCAGTGGCATGGCAGGCAAGGTATCTGTACTCACACATTATGGTATATAGAGATGATGTGTGTAGCAACATTTGATGACTATTGTGTCTTTTCAATACCAGTTGGCCTTTACGTGTGTGTGTGTGTGTGTGCGTGCGTGTGTGTGTGTGTGTGCACGCACATAAGTTGTCCTTGTCGGACCATGAAGAAATACTAATGGTCCCACATATTTCCAAAGTTCAATATGCTGTTATTCCTCTTGACTAGTTCATGACTGTCCTTGCACTGCAAATGCCTCAAATGTGTCATCAACAGTTTCTTTTCAAATGGGAGGATCGGCTTCAGAAAATATAACTTTCCTATTTTCAATAACTTTCTTCTTTCATGTCAACGTAAAAAATATTCTGTTCAGTGCTGAGAAACACAAGTTATTATCAAAACCACTGACCAGGGTTATTTTCTTTTTAGGGGTCAATGACCGTGGCACTGGATAATCTGGAACACTGCATTAGAAACTTTGTATGTCAACTTTTGTATTTGAGACACTAAATTATTAAGTCTTGTTGGGTTTGCATATTGGCACATGTATCGTATTGTAATATAGCAAAAAAGGAGAGCTGCATTGCGATACATATTACAATATGTATTGGGACCCAAACAATCTTTGTTATATATATTTGTTCTGTTCAAATGAAACACTTCATAACTGAGGGCATGGTTTAATCCTGACATGATTATGTCAAACAAACGACAACTCAAAACTGGGTGCTGCTTCACTCAAAAATCCAGACTGCAGATTGCGAGATGGGCTAAAATGACAGTATGGATAAATGAGCTTTGCGTCAAGGTGAAATTGCAACGTAAACAGCCTGTGTTACTTAAACAGGAACCCAGTCCACCCAACTGCCCCAACTCATGCACCCATAAATATATATTAATTCTTCTTTGAATGTATTAAAAAAATATCAATACACAAGCTTCTTAATGTGAAATATGTGTATACCGACTGCCGCTTTGCAATATACTGGTATTACGGTTACATCACATACCCCTAATAGTATGGGACACCTGTCAACCAGAAGAACAGTCATTGTATAAAGCCACTAGCCCCCAGTTCACAGTTTCAATGTTTAGAACTAGTTTTAACGATCCGGTCCTAGGTTTTGATGCTAAAGAACTTAAGAATATGGATGGTGAAAACAAAAACTACTGTAAAAATATGAAAACCACAAGATAAGTTCTTAGAGTGTGACCGTAAGTGAGCAAAATAAGTACACATGGTCATCCTGTAAACTCCATAATGTTCAGACTTCATGGCTTACTTGAATATGCATTTATTAATGCATGTCATTCGTGAAATAGTCCCATTTAAAAACTTAACAGTAAACATATGCAAGATTACTTGAACTACAAATCTTTTCAACTTGCAATTGAAAAAGTTTTCTCATTGGTGTGTCATACATATTGGATGTAAAAGTTAGATGGGTAATGGTAACCAACCATCAATGTAGACTGAGCTTAGATCAGGAAAACAAATAAACATACGGCAACCTCTCAATTAATCAATGAGGGGGATGGGGGTGGGGTTGTGAAAAGTCATCGTGACCAGGTAACTTGGCTACTTCCTTTCTCCGAAAGATTCAGACAGCCTTGTGACTTACTCGTCTTGCATAAATAATGAACATTTCATTCCCGACATGTCTTAACAATGCATGTGTAATTGCTACGCCACGACACAAAATCATATTAACTCAACCACGTGTAACTGAGTGCAATTACACGTTATATTTTGCAAAATGTGACAATGTGTTCCATATGAAATGATCATATCTAGCGTCAGCTGGCCGTCAGCCATGATGGTTTAGCGTTCCCAATAAACACGAACTTGGTTGCAAATAATCCGCCTTTTGAGAAACATTTCATGGTATAAAATGACACAGATGAGTTTAAACAATGTCATACCTTTCAACAAGAGCAGATCGAGAGAGTTAGTTTCATTTTTGATCTGATAATCAGACGACACAAAGACGATAGCCTGGCGAATAAATCTAATGACGAGCAGAAGTAAGAGGACAGAAGTGCGGTTTTCTGAAAACAAAGACAGTTTTCAGTACAAATCTGGCACAAATTGTCAAGATAAATATGTATACATACTATGTTACTATCTGTAGATATGATAAGATAAAGCAATACTGGAAAATCTGGAATTTCTCCTTGCTACTTCATCGAATTTGCAAACTAGACGTACACAGATGATCTGGTAACACCTGCGCACGCATAACAACTACTTCCGGTTTCTAACACTTCCAAATTAATTTCTAATTTTTCAAGCAAGAAAGGGTGGAATGGGAAACTTATCTTGCTACAAACTTGAAAGTTAATTAAGAAAAATCAAGTATAACATATAGCTTCTAAAGTGGTGGAAGTTCACTGACCCGCTTCGGAATCGTAACGGGGTTGTTGTGCTAAAAATAGCTCTTGACATAAATAAACCCTATCCGTGTCACGTGTTATTGTTTAGGTTTTGACGTTGAGACCATCAGTTTTGATCCAATGCAAATCAGACATAGTGACACGTAGTAACGACGGAAAAGGACGATCCTTAACCAGCATGAAAAATATTGTTATTCGAGGTCTCTCTTTGTTGTGTTTGCATGTATAAACATGTTTTCTTGAGAACTGAAGATATCGCACAACCGCAGTCAAACCAGGGATAGACCACAAGCCGTTGGTTTCAGAACATAGTGTTGCGTTGTCATTTTTTTTCTGAAAAGGGGGTGTTTCAGCGTGTTGAATCTGCCAGTGGCGTAGCTACCACGTAGCACAAAAAGCAAGTGCTTACACTTTGAAATCCTCGCAAAAAAATAAAATAATAATTTTTAAAAAGTAGATCTACTTCAGCGTGTTCCTCTTTCGTTTGTTTTAGTGGCTACTTGATCCTGTTTTAAATTTACAGCTAGGTTGACCGGCCTTACAGTGTCAAAAAATTGCGTTGATGAGCTGGTTCGATGTTGTTGTTTGATTGTTACATTTCTTTTACCTTTTTTCGCGAACGCCTGGTGTCATAAAGGATTTTCAGTGGTCGATTCATTTAATTTCCACAGCTATTTTGCCTTTTACGTTAAATGGAATCAGTTTCGGTGGGGATAAGCTAGAGGGGGTATTTTCTTGCATCGACAGTTTATATTTAATGAGGATATCTGGGTTTTATCACATTACACAAGGGGCTGTCGGGTAGCCTAGTGGTTAAAGCGTTAGCTCGTCACGCCGAAGACCCGGTTCGAATCCCCACATGCGTACAATGTGTGAAGCCCATTTCTGGTGTACCCCGCCGTGATATTGCTGGAATAGTGTTAACAGCGGCGTAAAACCAAACTCACTCACTCACAATACTCCAACTGTTTTATATTTAAGCTGTGTTATGTACAGAACGTGGAAATGATATTTCGTGATATACCTGACTCCTGTTATAGATGGGTGCAGGCTAAAACAGCACCTCAGCAAAACGTCACCGATTTCTCTTTCGAAAACGGCACCGCATTTTGCAATAACGGTTACTATGTGTCGGGCGAAAACGGCACCTCTATTTTTAAGAACGATTTACGTAGTAGTTCAATCTCATTAAAATCAGATCTTAGTTCTCGCTATCGCTAAACAAAGATCTTTGTTTAGCGGCAGCGAGAACTTAGATCTGATTTTAGTGAGATTGGTAGGAGTTTTAGCTATAACCCGTTATAGATACGTTGCTCTGTACTGCTTGTGTTTGATAAGCGATATGAGTGTTTAAGCAAAATAAGTAATGCAATATGATAGCTTACATTTTAATTTCTCCTAGTTACACCCCTGTCTGCTGGTAAAGTTAAATTAATTTACATAAAACAGCAAAGTCGGGGTTGTCAAAAACAGAAAAAAACACCGATTTACAAATATCAGTAAAAGTGTTTCTGACCTCACACGTTTTAACATAAAAGAGTAATTATTGAGATAATCAAATATCTATTTATATTTTTTTTAAAAGATTTTATTAATTAAACATACGAATTTGTTAATTATATCATAACATTGAGTTAATGACAATTCTGTATCGTTTTATGTTTATGCTTAAAACTCATCATCTACTTCAAAAGCTAAAATTTGTACGATCATAAATGCACTCATTTATATCTTGAAGTTAATTGTTTGTAGTCATTAAAGGGGCACTAATCTCTGGCTTCTTCTCGGCTGTCTAACACTGCCCGATACACATGGATAGGACTCACTAGCTGCCGGGAGTCGATTTGCTCGCTAACGCAAATCAGCGTGACAAGAGACTGGGCTACCGTCTTCAGTTACATCTCCTTTATTTTTGAAACGTGTTCATGAGAAACATAGTGTTTTATTATATAATGAATTGCATTCACGTTATCAAGTGTGTTTTATCGCCATTCTATTATGACGCAGGTGCCCTTGTGGTCTAAATCGCTGCTATTGTCTGTCAAGAGTTGAGTCCCTTATGCTGTTTGTTTGTTTGTTTGTTGTTTTACGCCGCACTCAGCAATATTCCAGCTATATGACGGCGGTCTGTAAATAACTGAATCTGGACCAGACAATCCAGTGATTGACATTGTGTACATCGATCCACGCATTTGGGACCGATGACATGCATCAACCAAGTCAGCGAGCCTGATCACCCGATCCCGTTAGTCGCCTTTTACGACAAGCACAGCCGCCTTTTACGGCAAGCATGGGTTGCTGAAGACCTATTCTACCCCGGAATCTTCACGGGTCGAGTCCCTTATGTGCGCCAGAAATCTATCGTGGGTTCGAATTTCTGATTCAGTTTTTTATTTGTCAGCACCTTACCCATGCTCCTGGCTTTTACCAAAGTTGTAAAGGTGTGAGACCTGCATCACATATCGGGCTTTCCTCTCCCAACACTCTGACTCTTGATGTAACTGTTCAAATAAATTGACCCAATCCGATATGGTGGCTTCATTTGGGAAGTGACGTCAAAATCACCGTTATTATTAATTTCGGACACAATTCCCCTCACACACGAATGTTGATTTGATTTTTTAGGGAATCAGACAAAAAGTAATCTATTGTTTGTTGTTTAACTAACGGGCAAAAGAAATGCCACCAAACAATTTTCTGGTCTAAAACAAAACAGTCGCAAAATGTAGTGACAGTTGATGTTTAATTATAAAATAACAATTATTCAAAAACGGTATTTGAAAATCACAAGATCAAAAACCATCTTCTTAAGGTTCTGCAGACACGTTTATCATGCTGGGTGCACTGTCCAGTATTCGATCACCACCGCAGATCGACGTCGATTAAAGTCCCGTGCTACACACATGGCTCAGTATCGGATGTGACAACCTCCAGTAACGATGCAGGCCCTAATAAGACGTACACGAGTCTCCCGACATCCTGATTAGGGATCCTTCGCCATTCTGCCTGCAGGGCAATTGCCAAGGCATCTCTCGTCAATGGCGGCTGTTGACGTTTCCGAATCCTGCGTCCAAGTTGGTCCAAGAAGTGCTCTATGGGCGACAGGTCCGGTGATCTGGCTGGCCACTGTAATACGGTCACGTTGTTGGCGTTCAGAAAGTCGCTAGTGACTCGAGCTGTGTGAGGGGTGGCGTTGTCCTGCTGAAACAGCGTCCGCTGGTGTCGTTGCAGGCCGCAAAACCTCATCAATGTAACGACGTGCAGTGAGATTTCCGTCGATGATGATCTGTGTTCTGGTCCCCGCAGATACCACCCATTACACTACCACCTCCTTAGGGCTCCACTTCTTGGACGCAACAACGGGCATCACGTCGTCGGTAGATTCGAACCCGCCCATCACTCTGGAAGAGCTGGCACCTACTCTCGTCGCTGAAGAGCACTCTTCGCCAATTTCTCTGCTGCCACTGCTGTACAGTCCTGGCCCATCTCAGTCTGTGACTTCGGTGTAGAACCGTTAAAGGGCAAGTTCACACGGAAATTAACCTATTTTTCTTGTACTTTTTCCACATTAAAAGTGTTAACCTAGAAGTGTCATAGACAAAAATATAAAAATATCACAATTAATTAACATATTTTTCGCATTAAAACGATTTATATTTTTCACATTTACCAAGTGTTCTATTTCCACAACAAAAACACCATGGCTTATGCCCCTTGCAATATGACGTCATTGGTGCCAATTGATAAACATTATGACGTCATCATGCTTTGTTAGAGCCGCTTCACGTGGTGTAGGTCTAGGTGTGTGATTCTAGCGTCTCAGATGCCAGCCAGCATAGTGTTATGCTGAGTCACCACTGCGCCGGAGTGTGTCGTAGGCCATGTTGTTTTACCGCAAACTGGTACTTGATATCTTTTGCGTTGAGAATAGACAGGGACCCAGTTGAATTGGCACCAATTACGTCATAATCTAAGGGGGATAACTCAGGCCTGTTTAGCTCGAAAAACGAAGGCCTCATAACGGCATATCATTTTCTCACTATTGTGAGCTTCCTACTTTCACTGTGAAAAAAATGAGTGTATATTTTCAAACACAGATACTAATTAATTCTAAAATTGCGTTTTGTTTAGAAAAAGAAAGAAAGTGATTTTTGCGTGTACACTTCCCCTTTAACGTCATGCCCTTGAATAGAAAGGTCGATAGGCACGGAGGCCATACGGGCGGAGTCGTCTAGCAATGGTCTTTCTGCTGACTGGATGTCCAAGGCTGTTTGCGGCTGATGACGTCAGTTTGGTGGACATTAGGTGAAGCATCCGTAAATACCGGTCTTCCCGTGGGGTCGGGACCTTGGGTCTTCCACTCCTCGGCCTGTCTGCAGTACTGCCAGTTTGCCTGTGACGTGTGACAATTCTGGCGATGGTGCACTTGAAGCAGCCCATGATCCAGAGGCGTGTAGCTCGCCTCGTAATCCAAGATGGCGTCGCACATTGAACAAATGTTTGCCTTTGGCGAGAATGGAACCGATGTCAATAGAATAATCTTTTAGACTAGATCTACCATCAAAAAGTTATTTTTGCATTTTCAATATATTGACCCGTGATGATCAGGGAAGACAATAGGTCTTCCGCAACCCATATATTTGCCGTAAGGATCGAGTAATAAGACTCGCTGACTTGTGTGATGCATGTCATCGTATCCCCATTGCACAGTCCGATGCTCATGTCGATTGCTGGATTGTCTGGTCCAGCACAGGGACATGTAACTAATAATCAAAGTATGAACCCTTCAAACTTGTGATGAAATTAAATGTGTGAATCTATGACACTTGTGGACAGGG